TTTTTACACCTCCCTTTCTTCATGTGTTCAATACTTTTTCCCTGTGCCATGATTTCTTTGAATGTATGGATCACTTGGGTTGTTTCCGACATCTGGTGAAAATTTCATGTCATTAGCACCTCTAGTAATATATTTACTGAGAAAAATGGTGACGTGTTCAATACTTATTTTACCCGCTGTAGGTATTAAAAATGAAATTATTGTTTTCTAGATAAAGCACCATCAGAGTTCTGCACACAAAACCTGTTTATTATCTGTTACTCCAGGCGGAGAGAGTCTTTTGACCCTTATTTACACAGAACTACAGCACGAGCAGCRTGGGAATCAAACTGTTGTAAATTGGATACGTCCGCTGACGTATGGAAATCAGGCCCATCAAACGGCCCCCGGGTTGGCGTTCCTCCTGAAACGGAACCGAAACAAAGGGAGAGATGACGAACCTCGGGCGGAGCTGGGAGCCGGTCTCCATTTAGGCGCCTTGTTACGGCCGTGGCTGGAACTAATGACCTGCGGACAGGAAGCAGCTGGTCCTGACGATAACAAGCTTCCACCTGAGATGTGTCAGAAACGCTCTCAGGTCTCCTCTGGTCCTCAGAGGCTTCATCAGCTGCAAGCGACAGACTTTAGTGTTCGTTGTTGAGGTTTGTCAAACCCATTAAGTTTTTTTCATAATCAGTCAAAAATGACACGTTTCTCTTCTTCTCTTCCTTTTTGTAAAGCATTCACACCCTGTACCGTATATTTAACCTCACTACAGCACCCAGAGAAAACCCACCTGTGCATGGAGAGAACATGGAGACCAGGGGTGTCAAACTCAGGGGTCAACAAGCGGGGCAAAAGTCAAAACTTTGTCCAAGCAGAGGGCCAAACTCTCTCAATACTTACTGAAAAAATACCGGTTTAAACATAATCTAACAATTTATTCTTAAATTCCTTTTCCCAAATTATATTTTATGTAGTGTTCAGAACAAACATATCCTGACAAATAAAGAAATACACATCACTAACCTTTATTTGTTAGGCCTTACAACTATTTCATTGATTATTTCTTTAAAAACGTCACAAAAAATATATTTTTTCAGCTTTATATTTACAGAATACATGGAGTGCAAATGTAATGACGTACGTGTGTGTAAAGACGTGTGTGTGTGTGTGTATGATTTTTTTTGCAACATGGTGCTTTTTCACCATATTTTTCAGTTTTTTTTCTATCTTTTATTTTTTATTGTTTTCTACCTGCTGCTCTGATTTTTGTACTGTCCACTTCCTGCTGTGACAACCTAAATCCCACCTGTGGTACTAATAAAGATTCTTATCTTATCTTATCTTATCTTATCTTATCTTATCTTATCTTATCTTA